AAATAATATATATATATATATATATATATATATATATATATATTCAGTTTCCTTTCTAAACTAATTAACAGTCAATTAATGTATTATTTATTAACTTGCACAGAAATATATAAAGAATACATGAGTGTAAATTTATAGTACTTAAATTTTTTGAGTTTGAACTTGGAAGGCTACCTTTAAGAGCAATGCCTAACATGGGTGGTTCAATTATTTGCTATCCAATTACCCATAGGAGGAATTTCTTTATCCGTTTTTTATGACCACTCACCTGTGCCAAAAATTCTGCCACATCTCAGGCTCTCCTCCATGACTTTTCAGAGTCTCGGGTCCTGCGTTCAATGTCTAACTCTTCTTCAAATTTATTCAATAGGAATAGTCTTTCTATGTATCTCTCTTCAAACAATGCAAGAGGATAAATGGTGGTGTTAGATCCAAAACCATTGACATCAAAAGGAATCTTATTGATACTTTTTTCTTTCTAATAATTTTTTATTATTAACTCAAATTTATTAAAAAACACAAATATTAATAAATCTAATCGGTAAATCAAAGGAGACACTTTAGATCGGATCAAGAGTGTCCAAGTAACTGAGAGGTTATGTAACCCCACTAGACATCTATTCCCATGATTCATCTTAATGATCATGAAGGCATGAAAGAAAATTGTACATATGGCTAAAACTGAGTAGTGCATTTTTGAAGTGACATGAAGTGAAAGGGTGTACTTGTATTTCTGCCTTGGTATAATTTACCTTTCATATATTTATTAGCAGCCAGAAAAATAGTCTATGTTCAAACTAAGCCCTGATGACTGAATAGGTAATTTGTGTTTCTAGGCAACTTGATTTTGTAACTGACTGAGGCGCTACCTTACCAAAAGAAACATAGACATTGAATGAAGTCCTAAGTACGTCTTGCATCATGTATCCCCAAAAAAGACAGGTTTAATTTGCACCTTGCTCATCAGATCAAAATGTGAAACCAAATAACATTTCAATTGCAACTTTGTCCTCAATTTAAGAAGCTATAACACTAGAAGTGATATAACATATTGTACAAACTAGGCCTATGAGAGACATAGGTGCTAGAGTGATACAACTTGATTAACCCAAGAGGGCAAGAGGTAGAAACTAGAGGACTTAGTGAAAAGTTAGTGTAATCAATAAATTAGAGTAGTTACACTAAGAGTATATGTTTTACATTAATTATATTTTGAATTCAATTTCCTGAAATCAAAATTTGGGTGTTGTTTGATTATCATCTAACGATTTTCTGATTTATTGATTATAGATCAGTTGGTCGTGAAGTTCGGTAGTCACAAAAGGTAAGTGTTTTCATTATTTTCTTTTATGGTGCATTTTATATTGTATGTCGTATTCTCATCTTCAATTTTTATTATGAATATAAAGTCTTATTGTGCATGGTTTTGCTCGAGAATATAACATGAATAAAATGATTCTTAGTGATTATAGAAACAAGCCCTGTACGGTATCCTAGTCCGGAACTAAAAAACAGCGGTCGAAATTCACAATCAACACCAACACTAGTGAAGTGGAGATTCCTACCTTTATAAAATAAAATAACGACGACTAAAATACAGGGGAATATTATATTTTTCTAACTATTCTCGTAATACTCAATAAAAATTAAATAAAACAGTGCTTACATTTATTCTTGTAAGAACATAAAAATTATATACAGTATTTTATTTTCTTTACCTTAGGATAATTAATTCTTTCATTTTTACAACAGCATGTTTAAGAACTTTTTTTTTTCTACGTAAGTCAGAGAAAATTACAATAAGATAGAATTAAAATTTGAATCTAATTTTTTTTTTAAGGAACATTTGACACGTACCACATGAACTAATTACTTAAGACAACAATGACAAGAATCTGTGATAGAAGATTGATGTGACAGAGGTAAAAACATAGTTGTATAAAATCATTATGATTAGATAATATGTTTGCATTTTGTAATAACGTTTGGCAATTTTCTTCTTCATTTTGTTAAGTGTGAAAAATAAGGAAACTTGAATTGAATAAAAGTATTATTATTATGTTTGGGATTTTTGGCAGGCCAAAAACTAGTTCTTGTTCTGGAGATAGGAAGGTGTGACACACATTGACAGAAGACAGAAGACAGGTCTGTGTTTTTGGCACCTTGCATGTGAGTCAAGTGATTAGTGTACTTTACTATAGACCTTGGTTCCAACCAAGTCTAACATACTTTTTCCTTGTTCTTCTGTTTCACTGCCTCCACGGTCACTTTCTCCTGACCCACACTCTTCATACATCATATGCAACCACACTAGACACTCAATGGACCTCCCCACCCACAAATTATTCCAATCTCCATCTAAATTGCCACCACCACCTGGGGTAAGAAAATAATCCCACATTTAATAATGTCCTTTGCCTTCAATTCATTTCTCACTATTGTTCTTGTTCACTTTTTGTGACTCAGAAGCCACTCCCTGAGAGCAAAATGAGCTTGTATGGGAAAACCCAAGCCAACCCTTTTGCAGATGACTTCCCTGACCCACTTTGCAAGCTCAACCTGAAGGAAACCTCAGACTTTGTGAAGTCACTGCCAATGCCAAATGCTGAAAACAGAGCACACTCTGTTTCACAACAGAGTAGACTCCTAGAGTCTCCCTCCACTCCTGGGAGACCCCACTTCACCTTCAGCTCTGGCCTTCCAAGAAAGAGCTTCCCTTCAAAATGGGATGATGCTGAGAAATGGCTCATGAGCACCTCTTGCCATGACTCACCTGCTCACAACAACGTCAACAAGGTTTCTGAGCCCCCAAGGTTCAATATCAGGCAACCATGTTTTGATGGCTTCAAGCAGCAACCAATGCATGATTTCTCGGACAAATCCAGGGTCACACATGAAAGGGTGTCCAATGCTGTCCCTGGGGACATCCACTGGCCTTCATCCTTGGACCACCACCATAACACCCTTGGAGCTTTCCATGGTGCTTCAGACATTGTACTAAAAGGTAGGATCGCTGTCTAAACTTCAAAATTTGACTTTATCCCACCTTTATTTCTTTTTCTTTCCAATCTACCCTTTTAGCCATCGTTGTCATGATGTTTCTTTTCCCTTTTTTCTTTATTATATTCTTATTTTCATGGACTTCAATTTTCACTGGCTTTAAATTGTGGGTAGGTTGAATATTAAAAACATCCACAGGTTCATATTTCCTTTCACTCTAAGCTGCTGACTGCTGAGCATGATGGTATCTTGTGCTCATACTCTTCTAAGATCATATATCTCATGTATATAATTTTAAAAGGAGTGAAATTCACAAAATTTTATGATTTCTAATAAAATTTCAGATAATTGTATAGAGTCTGCTTATAAGTGTTATTTAGAGACAATTTTTTTCATCTCATTAGGGGGGTTTGAAATTGAATAACACTATATTAATAATGGACTTTACATTTTACAATTTTGCAAATATGAGTACTCGTTGACATGTAGTGAATTGCAATGCAGATAAGTTCACAGACAACATAGTGCCAATTTTGCCAACTTTAAGGTATTTAGAGCCGGCTAAAGAAGGGTTCTTGTTTAGGAACCAACAAGGTGGTGGTGTGACAATGCAAAATGCTTGCTCAGAAATGGTTCATCATAGAGATATTGGCACTGAGATGACTCCTCTGGGAAGTTCCACAACTTCAAGGTGCCCCACCCCAGTCAAGATTCCATCACCTCCTCGCCACAACACTCCAGCAAGTAAGTCAGGACCATTGGCCTTGTCCAGCACTGCCAGCAATACTCTTGATGTTATTCAGCTGGAGGAGTGCCATTTTTCCAAACTGCAACTAGGATCACAGTATGACTTAGTCGTGCCTTGGAGCTCAAGTGAAGAGGAAGAAATGGAAATATCGAAAAGCTTGAGGCATAATGCTAGCCACATTGCTGATTCAGACTACATAGCTGCTGCATGGGAAGAAGAGGAGAGGACCAAGTGTTGTCTTAGGTAACTCAACTTTTAAAGTTTCAGCTTATGCTTTATTGTATAGCATTCACGTTTCTTCTAACACATTCTCAAAATCATGAATTTGTGAATTAAATAAGGAGTGATACCTGCACAATTTTATAATTTTTAATAAATTTCAGCTATATTAAATAGTATTTTGTTAGTATATCTCACGTAGTATGTATTTATCATCTGATATTGTGGTTATACTTTGAGTTGTTGCAGGTATCAGAGGGAAGAAGCAAAAATCCAAGCTTGGGTAAACCTCCAGAGTGCTAAAGCAGAAGCCCGGTCAAGAAAGCTTGAGGTATTTAATTTGCATTTCATAAATTTTATTTTATATAACAAATTTGTACAATAAGAACTAGTATAAAAATGCTATTCTAAGCCCTATATTTAATAGCACAATATAACTAGTATAAGCCATAGCTGTAATAGCCGTAATTATTGAATGTTTGACCAAATGGCACCAGTTTAACCACTTCTCTTAAATTAAATAATAGTACAAGTTAAACTCCAATCTCGAGATAAGGTCCACTTAAAAGTTTTTTAAGGATAAGTATCCTTTTTGTCCATCTAAAAACACCCAATTTTAATTTTGGTCGTTATAAAAAATATTTTTTAATACCTTTGGTTCTATAATCATATGCTTTACAATGCCAAAACATATTCAATCCATCTTTTAAAATATTTTCTTAGCTGTATCTTTTGCATTGAAATTTGAAATGTGATATTTGTAAGTACAAGATATATCCATTACTGGAACTTTACTCTTTTGAAAGCAGTTTAAACTGATTGTAAGAGCAGATTCCTGTGTAATGCACATGGCTTAGCCTGTTAGCCTGAACACACAGAAACCCAAGACTATGTTCACTATATAGTACTATACTAGTTTTATGCATTAGCTTCTGCTATTAACTTTTGGCTAAAATTGAATGTTTTGCCTTTGCCGGGCATGTTGGTGACCTATTCCTCGAGCCACCCCCAACTCATTCACACCATTATACATTATTTTCTTGACCAGTCCATGGTCCACTTCTCCGTCTTCCTCAATCAAATGAAATCCATAAGTAATAATAACGTTCATAATCATAATATTATATTAAGAAGCACATGTGAGCATTACATTTAGAAATACGTGAGAAATTTGGATAACCTTAGTTGGCTAGAGTTATGTCATTTGTATAATATGTGGACTATTGAAACAACAAAAGAATAGCAATTGAGTTCTGAATGTTTATGCTATATTATGTGAAAAATGTTATTCTTTTTCCCTGTATTATAATTTGGTTTGAGCATCACTCTTCACCTTGCATTGATTCCAAACTTATTAGGATTGATGAGTTTTCATGCGTGAATGTCTTGTTTGGATTGCAACGAAGGCTAGAGCCAAGAAGCACACTTTTGAGACATAATTGGTTAAGAATTTTGACAGCTGGACAATGGATAGTAGATTATTCTAGTACAGACCATAATAATAATATAAAAAAAAACAAATTCCAAAGTTGAAAACTTCTAGGCATATTGTCTTTTTCTTTTTCAGCTTATATTAGTATTATAGGAGTAAACTGTTTCTAAGTTCACATAAGCATTGAAAACATGAATATGTTAAATATTACTATTACAGATTACCAAGCATGTTTATTCAAAATCATGTTATTGAAACTAAGCATGTTTTGTTTAAAATATTTCTTAGGTGAAGATACAGAAGATGAGATCAAACCTCGAAGAGAAGTTGATGAAGAAGATGTCAGTGGTTCACAGGAAAGCTGAGGAGTTGAGGGCAGAAGCTAGACAACAACACTCGGAGCAAATCCAGAAGGCCACTGAACAAGCTCAAAAGATGATTCATAAGCATAACTCACAATTTTCAAGGCCTAGTTCATGTGGATGCTTCCCTTGCAATAATAACCATCATTAACTATGATGTTGATAGGATTTTCTAAGGAGACCTATTAAGAAATTCAGGATAAAAAATACTTCCTTCGCCCTTCTCTATAAGAACTAAATTAGAGGTTTACCTTAATTTATTTTATAAAAACCAATATAAAATGCCTGTTACATTATTTTTTCTATATAAAAATACCTTGGATTATAATTCATTTGTTTAAGTTCAATAAATAATAGGTGAGATGCACTAATGTGGTGGTTTCTTTGAAAGTATATATTTGACCTGCATGGAGAGAATTTTTGGAGCCTTATTTCGTCTCTTCACACACATAAACAGTAATAGTTTATATATGTCATAAATGTAAATTTAATTTTAAAAATATTCAAATAATTACGTGGGTTAAGTACTAGTTATAACTAGTGTCACTAATTCAAGAAATGTTTTTCCAACCAATTATATTGTTAATATCCAAACAAATTACTTCGGTAAGAAATGAGTAAATTACTTTGGTAAGAAATGAGTAGATTGGACTATGTTTCTTATAATTAAGACTAAGAAATTATTCATTTGTTTTACATAAAGGACCATGGATAATATCTTTTTATTTTTATTTTTTAAGAAATTTCAAAAATATTTGTTAGCATTTTCCGTGATTCAAATTCTCCACAATTAAAGAATCCACATATTTATACATTCAGGATCAGATCGAATGCCTCATATTTTATATAAATAAATCTAATTTAAAATATGTGTTCGAAATAATATACCGTCTGATCTTTTATCAAACAGTACCAATTGATGAATGCGTGAACAGAGACAATCCATTCTCCTTAAATATAATAATGGAAAATCGATCACCTAACACTTTCCCTATATAAAAACCAGGAAAAATTTATTTTCCTTTTTAATATTTTTAAGAAGAAAGTATTTTGACAATCAGAGTTTCAGAGCCACTTTGGTAAGTCCAAGCAAAGGTACAGTATATCTAACTCATGAGACAACACTATAGTTCCGAAACCTGAAAATTACAAAGGGAAAGTGATGTGAGTTTTGTTGTTTTATCCGCATGTTCTTATGCTTGTGTCGTTTCGTGTTTGGATTCGGAGCTTGAAAAATACAAAGTTGAGAAGTGAAAAATAAAGGGTATCCATACTTTTTCAGATTTCTCCGTCATGAGGTTACATGAACAGAGTGATTCACTGCCAACCATAAGGTCTATAGTAAACTAGATCTTGTCTCAAATAGGACACATATTCCAATAAGTTATAAGCTCAGATTGAAAAAATTAGAAACATATAAATTAGTTGGTGTATTAAAAATGTTTCATAAAATTAATAAACTACCCGATAAATGTAAAAGGAAATAAAATAAAATATTTTTCATAATAAAAGTGGGAGAATAATGAGACAGACAAATTGATTTTTAAATAAAAAAATATGAAAGTAAATTAATGAAGATAAAAAGAAAAAAAATAAGAGTTTATAAGTTACAAGCTATTTTAATTAATTTATAAAAATAAACTATAAACTCCTAAAATAAATTTATATAAACTCTCATATCAAATAAATTTATTTTGATCAAACTAACTTATAAGTTAGTCAAAACATAAAAGAAACAAGTATACTTTCCACGTACCATTTTGGTAATTAGTGTCATTAGTATAATGATTAAAGAATAATAAATTAATATTGAAATCATGTAAAAAATGCATTAGAAAATTAAACATTGCATTTTTAAATAAATAATTTATGAGAAAAATGATTATACATAAAATATTTTTACCATTTCAAATAAATATAGGATTGTTAAATGGGTTAAGCCTACACTTCTGTTTAAGACCATAAGTTAAAAGGGTTAGGTTGAGGAGAGAAACAAACTAAACGGATCGGTATCAAAATAACCCAACTCATAAATTGGCAGCTCGTGATGAAGGTTGATTGGACTTGCTAGTTGACTCTGTAGACTGAAAAGAGAGAGAAGGGAGAATCTTACAGTATGTTTGGTTCATAAAGGAAAATAAGAAATTAAGAAAAAATGGTCTGAACTAAATTAATAGGCTTTTGAATTTAGGATTAGGGTCCGTTCTTTCCTTCAATTTGGGGAGTATGTGTATATAATAATACTAAAAATTAGTATTTATATTTATTTAAATAGACTACCTTGTTAAGCTAAAGACTTTTTAAATAGTCTAAACTTAACATTTTTAATTAAAGATACTTCTATAAAATTCCTGACCTAGTTAGTTCCTAAAAAAAGCCTAGTCTAAAGGTAGGTTAGGCCACAGCATTATCACATGGCTTAACCCAGTTTAAGAAAATTGACATGACGTTTAACCAAAATTATTAAATAATGTGTTAAAAAAAAGTATGGTATAGGTATTCTTCGAATAAGAAACTAAACAACCATTCTTAAGTCAGCCTTAATTTGGTTGGAAAAAGGTTTATTCAATGAAAAAGAGATAATCAAACTTGCTTTCACGTCTTGCATATTCAAAATGCAACTAAAGTTGAATTAACAACAAATTTATTCTTCCCGAAAACTAAAGGGCCTATTTTCTCTAAGTACAAAATCCATCGTCATATCAAAATGTCAATTGGGTACCCTTAAATTAACTAAAAAAAATTCAAGCAGGACTTAATCACGGAACTCATCCATGAATTTTTCATGGAACTCTGTCAAGCGGGTAACAATGGCCGGAATCTTCTCTTCTTGAGGCAATATTGTGCACCTAAAATGCCATGTGCCAGGAACCTTGCAAAACATAACAATTTATTGAATTTCACAATGCAAAATCAGTTTTTAATTACGACAAGGATGGAAAAAAACGTAACTAAGTTGGAACCAATCATCAATGTTGTTGATCAATCAGTAAATAAATTTATGTCATATGTTAAGTTAAAGAGAAAGGATTATAGATATGATATGCACAAAAAGATTAGTACATAAACTAACCTGTCCAAAACCAGAACCAGGAACAACAACTACTCCTGTGGCATTGAGCAAGTGTTTGCAATAGAAGTTATCAGGTGCTGTATTTGCTTCCTCCGCAGCTTTGATAGCCTTTCCAGGCAGCCGAATTTGGGGAAACAGATACATTGCCCCTTCTGCTCTGTTGCATGTTACACCCTCTAATTTGTTGAATGCATCTTCTAGTGTCTGTTGAGAATAAATCACGAAAGCAAGCAAATAAATAAATAAAATGGTAAAGGTTGTTCTTAGTATAAGTGTGAATGGGTAGTAAAATTTGTAAATATTTTACGGGCTATGGTGGTTAGTTCATAGTGAAGGAGAACCCCTTCAAAATAAACTCTAGTTAAGTGCATGGATATGGACCCCAAAAAAAGTATACCACTATTTGAGCAAATCTAAACTTCCATTGGGGGCAAGGAAGAAGGGAACCTTAAAAATATTCAAAAATCTTGAAACATCGTTAAAATGGTGTTGTTTGTTTTTACTATCTGAAATTATTTCCTAGGTAACTAACCTTTGCACGCCTAGCAAGGGATGCCAAAATATTCCCCTTCTCAGCCATGAATGACTCATATGACTCGTCTCCAACCTGCAGACATCCATTGAAATCATTGAATGTTAAAGTATTAAACTAGAAACGGAATGACAGAAATGAGCTTATATACAAAATTCATATCCTCATAGTAAACAAATAATTCAATTTACAATAATTTAATAACACTGTTAATTGTACAACATTTTGTTTATGTAAATACGAACAGGGCTATCACTGATGACATGCCTTCTTAATTCCCAGGGGATAGAAGGCTCTAGGGGCCTTTATTTTGGTTTAACATGCCAAAGGCATGCGATATCAAAGCTCCAAAATAAGTGGCACAGGGCATTCTATAGAGTGAATGTATCATTGTCATTGATCAATAGAGTTGCAGTTCTGCAAAGAAAATGGCACGATGCTGCAATTAGAGTATCATTCCTTCCAACTAACCATGAATACTCTTTAGTATAAGGGTACTGTTGATATGTTAATTCTACATTGGCATTCTCACCAATCTTTTCATGGTCAGAATTATGTTCAATGTTCTTTTAATTAATCAAGTAAAGAATTATTCTCCAAAAGGATAATTGACTTAAAGATGCAAGGAGTTAACCTTGGGTGGGCTCATGACCAAGCTTGCAAGAATTTGACCAGAGATATTAGAGCAAAGGTTGACAGATGCCATTTTATATATTTGTTCCCTCACTTCTGTAGAAAATCCAGTCACCTCCATATAACCTCCTCGTTTCCCACACTCCCCATGGTAGCCTGAGGACAAAGAGAAAAGCAACTTCCATCAATATGGGTCACTTATATTAGCATATAAGACTATCGGATCTTATTATAATGAATTAATTGTTGTACAAACTTGCCTTTCGAGACTGATTGAAAAGATACTAAGGTGATATCATCCTCACCATATCCCATGGACCGAGTTACCTTCTTGAAAGAGTGAAATTTCTTCTCAGGAACATAGACATTTTCTTGATATACCTTCAAAATGAATTTCATGCATCAGAATAGTATTATGCTTGTAAAATATAATGGTATCATGCCATATAAGCTTCAACAAAACAGTGATCCTGATACTTATTTAGAAAGTTCAGATAGGATGTAGTAACTGACATTTCCAAGGTTCATGAACTGCAACGTGTTTAAAATCAATTTAATTGAGTATCTAAGATTTTCAAGAATAGTCCATTTACCTCATCAGCTAAAAGAACCAAACCTTCTTGCTTGCAAAATTCCACTATATCCCGCTGATTTTCCTCAGAAAGAACCTGGAAGCATGACAAGAAGTCCAAGTTATCAAACTTAATCAACAAAGCTTCACGTTCTAAGCAGTAACCATCCTTCTATATTAAGTACAGCTTAATTAAACCCTTGAATAAGCTTTCATCACATGAGAGATTACAACATAAATTTGACCATAAAACTCAAGAAATAAACTAAAAGTAATTGAAATAAACTAAAACAAACTTGTAGGAATCATAAGTCATTTTGATTAACCCAGATATGCTTTTCAAAATATCCCCCAAAACTACATAGTTTTCTGCAGCTCACCTGCCCTGTTGGATTGCCAGGATTTATAACAACTAAAGCTCTAACATGGATGCCCTTTGACTTGGCAGCATCCAATTGCTTCTTGAGTTCAGGTATTTCCAATCCCCAACCTGTAGCTTCTTCTAAATAATAAGGTACCTATAGAAAAAATATTGAAGTTAAGCTGATACTCCAACCAAAGTATTATAACAAGATAGTTCGTATTCAAAGTTTCAAGTGATTGCAAAACAATCATGCACAAAATTATGTCAACATATATATAGACCATTTTTCTTATTATTCCTTTCAAAGATGCCACATAGCCTAAAAAAATCATCAAAACGGAGTGCATCTAAATAGCAACCAAATTAAATTATGCATTCTTCAATTGTATTGAGATTACCAGGTTGCCACCATGGAGGGTAATTGAGGCTGAGTACAGAGGGTACTGTGGAATGGGACACAGAATACCATCATTTTCCGATCTAATGAGTAATTGCATCATATTATGGACCTGAATACATAGAAAGTGGTTTTTAAAACCTATTCAAATTTTAAATGAAACAAACCACTACAGATTTGTCATTTAAACCGAAAAGAAACTATCAAAGGCAAAGCAGAACATACTGCAGGGCTTGCACCATCTGTCATGAAAATATCATCAGGATTGGCAGGAAAACCATCACGCTCTGAAATTCCAGCAGCTATTGTATCACGCAAGCCCTTGACACCCTGACATGGAAATAAGAACAATTTCATGGCCATTCCTGTGTATCGAAAAGAAATCAACCAAATTTGATAACCCAATCAATACCTGACTATGGCTATAGGCACCGGTAGCTCTCCCAGGAATCTGATCCACAATCTGCCAAGCTCGCTCTATTGCATCAGCACTGCAATATGCCCAAAGGGAAGCTTAGTCCAAAGCATCAGTAACAAAAGAACTTTTATTTAGTTCCACAGGATAGACTACAACATTGTAAAACCAAATTAAAAATATAATTGACACATTCAAATTCAATTTGCATCCTTTCATTCAAATTCAAACTTTTATGTCAGGGAAGTCTATTATACACTTTTTTTTTATCATGGTACCTGAACAAACCCTGTGTTTCACTTTTGTCCAATATAGTTGGATGGTCACATAATGCAAGAACCTGACAAAGATGAGATGGTCATAATAAGCATTGCTTAATTTGTATTCTGCTATATTCACTACGTAGAACACAATTATAAAAGGCAAACCTCTCGGAAAAAAGTTATTGGAGCCTGGCCAAGAGACTGAGGATTTCCAATGTTGCAGTAAAGTATCTATTTTCAGATAAAAGAAGAGTGAGGGGAAAAAAGAAAACAAAAGTAGAATAACAGCTTCATGAAGTAGAAGTGCAGTATGTCACATGCAATATATTTGTCCAACCTTGAAGGTGGCAAGTGAAATTACAGATAGACCACCCCCAGAGGGTGGGGAGATTTTGAAATTAAAGAAAAAAACGTGCATTTATATTTATCACTTGTTATAAAAAAAAAGGGTTCTTAAGCCAGAATGATTAAAATCTATCCTACAGAATTGGTTCATTTTGTTGGTAAGTTCTGCAAACAAATCCCCAAGAAAGATTCCTTGTTCCAATTACAAACTGTCTTATTACTTAAAGAGATGAAGAATAGCAGCATGTCCAAGCTAAGTTAAAATGTTAATGATTCAATAGCTAACTCATGCAACTACTTTTATGTATTTATATTACCTCATAATTAATTCATTTGATCCAAAGAATTAAGAGTATGGACAAATAATTAATCATAGAAGGACAGCCTTGGCACAACAACTGGAGTTGCCACCATGTGATGCGGAGTTCAAGTAGTAGAATCAACCTATTACAAGAACAAGTATATACTTGCACAATGGGTTCAACTAGGGGTGGAAAAAGAATCCATTTATCCATCATTCATCCACAAGTAAATTCGTTTGTTCATTACAATAAAAATAAATAATGGATTGGATTCAATCCATCCACTCAATTTTATTAGTGATCTATCCACTACTTTTTTAAAATCCATTTGACTACAATAAGATGTTTATTGAATTGAGATTTTAAAAGACTATTTTGATATAAAAAAGAGTCTTGTGAATTTTAAAAGACTATATAAGAATGTAATTATTTATAAAGAAAGAATAGACAATAAAAAAATTTCAAAACATTATTTTCATGGATGGATTGGATATCTATCCATCAAAAAATTGCTAATGGATGGATTGAATTTTTTTTCTTTAAATAGATTGGATGGATTGGATTTTTACACGAATTTATAATGGATCAATATAGATTAATAGAATATTTATATCTGATCCATTATGATCTATCTAAAAAATTATATGATCCATTCATTTGTCACCCCTAGGTTCAACCCTTACATGAACACTGTGCATATGGGAGTTTATAGCACCATGAGGCTGCCTTTTAGATGTAATCCTGAGAATTAAAAACCCAGCTAGTTCTACTCCAGTAGATGTTAAGTTGAAAAAAAAAAAAATACCTCATCAAATGGATGAGCACCAGGATTGGCCTGTAAATCCTTTTGCAAATTCTGCAACATTAAGGCATTTTTAGCCGTGAGTATTACAACAATTGACCATGGAAAATTATGAAGTGATCAATTTCAAGTTATATTTCAGTAAAAGCTGTACTGTTAATTTAGTGTCAAAAGAGCACTAAAAGGTAAACATTGTATCTATCTTGGAATAAACCAAGACAATACCAATTATTCCATGAACGACCTGACTCCATATGTACAACCAAATCACAGTACCTGCGCAAGTGTGACAACTTCTCCCCTAACAGCATACTCACATTTCAGAACCTAGACAACAAAAAAAACGTAGTTTCAAATCAGCAACAAAGTATACAAATTGGTGACATCATAACCAACTTAGCTGAAGAAAAAAAAATTAGTGGGACAAATATTCAGGCATACAATCACACTTTATAAACAAATAAAACACTTCTTCTACAAGCAAGAAAAATCCATTAAATAGCCTAAACCATCCAACCATGTTAAATTAGCCTCAATTGGAAGCATGACCCTAATAAGACACATCCCTTTTGCAACTATTCATTCCACTAGTCCCAGGGTTTAAAACAATTACGAAGCAAAACCAATTGAGTACAATATTATAAAAATGAGCTATTACTCGGTCATCAGTCTCACCACTAGACAGAAAGCAACGGAGAATAAAGATCAGAGTCAAACCCTAGTCACAGATCAACAATAATAATAATTACTTAATCAGCAGTCCTTACCCAAAACAGCAATAATTTAATCAAAGGTTGATCCCTTGACAAATAACCACGTTACCCTTTTATTAACATAAACTAAGAAAGAAGAAAGCAACATGAACTCAACATCACACATGCCCGGATGAGAAAAAAAAAATGAAATAGAAGAAAGGTTGCAACTTTAGGAGACCCAGAAGCAAAAAAAGGAAAAAGAACAAGGCGGGTGGCAGCGGAGAGAAACCTTGGGGTTGATGTTGTGAGCGGTGACAGGGAAAGGGGAATCAGAAGCCATGGAAGAGAAGGGGCGAGAGAGAGAAGAAGAGAGGGGAGGGGGATTGTGATGATGATGGCGAAGAAGAAGTGAACGGTTGAAAAGGTGCCTGAATCTGTCAGCTGCGGATTTCCGCATCGTAAGGGTTATATATAAAGTGGAGAAGAGGTTGGATGGTATGAGATGCAATGTTGAAAAATGAAAAGAGAACGCGTGTGTGTGCGTGTGTATCTATATTCTATATTCTAGAAACTAGAAAAGAAACAATGTTAACACTTAAGACAATGTGTTTGTGTCTTGTTCTTCTACAGTAATAGTCTTGCTTGGAGATTAGAAAACTGAACTTTCCGCCTCTATATTATTACCAGCCGCCCACTGTACACAATTTATTCTCTTACTCATTACACCAACCATACTTTTTCCAATTTTTCCAAGATTGCACTCTTTTTTTTTCAACCTTTATGGAGTATTAATATTTTCTTTCACCATACTTGTCAGCAAAAAAAAAGTGATTAAAAAAAGGAAATCTCATTTAGAGATTATAAAATATAAAAAACTTTGACAAAAATTAATTATATAAATATTTCACATCAATATATAATTTTAAAAAATATTCTTTTAAGTGTTATAATATATTATTTTTGTTTTTATTTACAAGATTCAATTTAGAATAATTATTTTCTCTTTTATATAAGATTTAATTTATATTATCTAATATATTAATTATTCTTAAATTAAAATACTCTTAATTAAAGAATGTTCTCTTGATTTGATAAAATATATTAATTATAAATTCTTTAAACAACATGCACTCTAATTGATAATTAGTTAAGAGAAAGATAATTAATAATTAAAAAAGAAAAATAATATAGTACATGCACTCTAAATAATTAAAAAATATATGAATATTAATTTTTTGTTTTAAAAAAAAGAGATAGTAGAAGGGTAATTTCAATAATATATATATATATATATATATATATATAAAATAAATTTATTATTATTAACCAAATTAAATATTTTTTAAAATCTTGGTAAATTAAATAATTGAATCTTATATATAAAAATAGAGATAATAATACTTTTCAAACAAATAAAAAAGATTAATATGATGTTTAAAGAAGTGTTGAAGTGATACAAGATATTCTCTTTATTTTTTATTATAAGCAATAAAAAAAGCATTTTTGCTTTTAAATTTAAGCAAACTTTAACTATTTTTTTTCTTCATTTAATAATATTTTTTCTTTAAAATATTTTTCCTTTAATGTATGACCTCTAAAAAATAGTATTTAAATTTTTTGAGTTTAAATATAAACAAATTTCAACAAGTTAAATTTATTAGTGCTCCTAATCCAAAGTTATCTGTAAGACATTACATGAGAACACTATATATAATAAATGTGATTAAGTATATGTTAGTAAATGTACTATGTATTTTATATAAAATCATGAAAATTAAATATATTTAACTATTTTTCTTAACTTAAGTGAACTTTTAATTATTCTTTATATATGAGTTCAAAAGAAGTAAAACCTTTTTATCATTTATAAGAAAAACAATTTAGAAAAAATATTGTAATATTAGTAACATTTAATGTTGTTAATTAATTTTCTCAATATGTATAAAATTGTTTATTTTATAATATATATATATAGAAAAATATTTGTTGAAAAGTTATAAAATTATTAATTTTCAACTTTTGATTAAGAGATACCCTAATTTAGAGAAAATTATATTCAAAAATACCATATTAAATTATAATAATCCCACGCATGAATGTTACTAGAGTACACCAGATTGGCTTTTTCTAATCAACTCACAATGTTATTAAAATAATATTAATATATTATTTTAAAAATATATAATAATTAATCGATACATAAAAGTTACATGAATTTTAATTACAGTGTCCTATACGTGAATTTTTTTTTAAAGAAATTTTAGTGTAATTTTTTTTGGTTATATTTATTTTAAAATTGTCCATAATCAATAATTAATATAATTAATATTTTATTATACAGTTACATTCAGTTTGCTATAATTAATGTTTTTTTAGAAATCTTTGAGAAAAAAAAAATACTTCAGAAATTGTTTGCTTAGAGAGAAATAATACTTTAAAGTTGTTATTTTTAATTTTTTTTATTTCTATTTATTTTAAAATTATTCATAATTAATAATTAATATAACTAATATTTCAATTTATTATGTCGTTACAGTTTCAATTTTCTATAATTAATAAAAAAAATTTAAAAAAATCTCGAGAAGAAATAAATCTTCAGAAGTTGTTTGAAAATAAATAATACTTAAGAAGTTATTTATTTTTTATTATTTATATTTATATTAAAATTGATCATAATTAATAAAATTGATGTTTTATTATGTTGTTAAAATTTCAATTTCTTATAATTATTTTTTATTGAATTAATTCCATTATAATTTTCTATGCCTGAAATATTCTGTATATCAATTTTGTGAAAGAAAATTTTGCCTAGTTTTTCTTATTTATATTACATAAAAAAAAATTACAAGAATTTTTGTTATAATTTCTTATACCGGAAATATTCTTTATGGGGATTTACCGAAAGAAATTTTGAATTAATTTTATTATTTATATTAATTTTAAAATTATTCATAATTAATAATTAGTATGATTGATGTTTTATTATGTTATTGCAGTTTTAATTTTTTATAATTGATTTTTTTTAATTATCGTAAAAATGAATATTATAAACAGAAATTATTGCAACAAATAATATAGAAAAAATTATTACATAGAAAATTTATAATAAAGTTATTGGTTTTATTGTGAGTAAGATAAGGTTATATATACCAGTTATTTCAAAATAAGTTTTTTAACATGTGCCCATGACTGTACTTAATACTTCCTTTTCTTATTTATCTAGTAAGAAGTGTGCTTTTACATGGACAATAAAATTTATAATAGGTATTTATGTTACTCTTTGAAATTATATAAAAGAATGTTTAATTTTTTTTTAATCAAAATATAAATAAATTTTAATTAAGTCAACTTTATTTAATGAATTTTTTTACTTAAATAATACTATTTTAAAAAATATTTACCTAAATAGTAACCATGCAAATTTATTTTTCCAACTAGAACTTTTTACTGTTCACGTTCCAGAACGGGCCGTTCCAGATTAAAAAAGAATACATGACAAATGAATCGGAACGGGCCGTTCCGGATTCAAAAAATGCTCATAAAAAGTGGAACCAGAATAGACCGTTCTGAATCCGGAACGGGCCGTTCTGGCCTATAGATTCAGGTTTTTTTTTTTTTCGATTTTCACTTATCAATTACCAAAACTTAGACACTACCATCAAGTGATTAAATTTATTGAATATTAACATTATAAATATAACTAAATAAATTTATTAAAATTTAATACAACAATAAAGATCAATGGTGACAGAAACTGATTATGTTGTTCTGTAATGTCCATATCTGTTTTAATCCTGCTGGACTTTGGCCACCCTTAAAAGTTTTCTTGAATTCTGGATTTGGCCACAAAGTTGGACCGGTGTAAGTAGGCCAATAATCTTCATGTAGGAGTTCTCTAAACTGTCATTCGTATACTTTTGCAACTTATTATAAGGTATATATGAGAGATATGTAAGTTTGATAATCGTGATGTGCATGTAAGCATGAAGCGAGTACATGCGAGCAAGGGATATGAACTTTTTGGAACTTGTCGCAATCACACCACATTACATTTAGCCTTACCGTAAATCTCCCAACGAATCATGCGAGCAAGGGATATAAATTTTCTAAAACTTGCTGCAATCATACCACATTTCATTTAGCCTTAATTTAAAAACATCTTTATTGGTTAAAAAATATTTTAAAAAATATATAATTTATATTTTATGTAAAATTGTGAAAATTAAGTATATTTAACAAAAAAAATTAATCTGTATAAAATTATTTATTTTGTTTATATATAAATTTACAGGGAGTAATATGTTTGGATTTATTTTATGAAAGAGGATATTTTAAACTAAATTAAACTCAATTTAAAAAAAATGAAATGGAAATTATTTGATAATTTTATTTTAAAATTTTGTTTTAAGTTAATTCTTTTGGATTATTGTTACACTGACTAATTAACATCATTTAAGATGGGAGAAAAGAAGGTTAAAATACATAACATTTTTTTTTTGAAAAATACACTACTATTTGATAATTTCTAAATATATATGACTTTACTTTTCTTTTCAAGTAGATGAAAAGGCAGAAGTGTTACTTTTTTGGGTTTTTAATTTAATTTGATCTTTTGGTACGGTGGCTGCTATTGACAGAGTTCACTTGTACTGTTTTCAGTGCAGTCAGTGAGTTGAATGGATATTGGATACCATCAAATGGTTCTATAATTTCACATTTGTCAGAAAAGATAGATCGTTGTTCCGAAAATTATTCCGAATAAATAAAATATTACTTTAAATTATAAAATATTAAATTAAGTAATTATTTTATAATAAATTTATTATAAAATATTAATATTTTATTATTTAGGGTTTAGGATTTATAATAAATTAAATATTAATATTTTATTATAATAAATTAAATATTAATATTAATATTCGAATCTGTTTTCGGAAGAAGAAGCACGACTCTTCTCAAATTTCCAACTGACTATGATTCATCTCACTTTCCTACACCAGCTTTATTGCTATAATGGCATAATTTAATATTTCCCTATTTATTATTTAATGTTGATCTGCTTTTGTGTACTGTATGTTGCAGTGTTGATTAGCGTTACTATTGAGATATTGTTTGATTTTGGTTCTCTTAAGTTTTCACAATTGTCATTTAAAACGTACTCCTGTGTGGTTGAATTAAAGAAGCAGTGTGGTTTTAAAATCTTTTATCTTAATTCTTATTTAATGAAATGGAATAGTAGTCCCTTGGTTGAGGTCAAGGGACAAGAAATCCTGACATCCCATATAATATTTTAGGAATCAAAATCATAATTTACTGTTGATTTCTTTATGGGAATTGAATATATTTAGTGGTTCTGTCATCTGTGGGCGACATACCCACGAGTCCATGGTGGTTTGTTGTGTGGGCATTGAAATATTGCATTTCATTCATTCTTTTATCTATTTTTTTTTCCTCGTATTCCTCTTTACGTATCATCGTCATCAACCTTTCTCTTTTTTCTATTTCTAGTTTCTTCTTTTTTCTTAATGATGATTTTTCACCTTCATCTCATTTCCCTCTCACTACATGTGGAAGTGTCCCTTGCCCTGTTTTGAGTTTTGATTTTGCAATTACTTGTTTATTTGGTTCAACAAAGGATGAAAAAATCGGCACTTATTGAATTTAGAGATGCTATTTGATGTCTCTCAAGCTACAATTTTTTTTCAATTAAGATATCTAAAATTGAAGATTAATTCTTCATTTGTAATACTAGATTTATTTAAAGATTTAACTTCTCTCAATAAATATATATACAAAAATTGAACTCTCAACTTTGAGGAACAAAGTCAGGTACTAACTATATCACATCATATTGTTCCCAAGCTACACATGAGACAATTAAAGAAGGGAATTGTTGACATCATCTTACTTTTTTTATTTGTTGTTGACATGGTTGCTTGTATGATTTACCAACTTATGCAATACTATTATACACTTACATAAAAAAGTAAATTATATATTTCACCCTCCTATGTTTTTAACTGACTTGGTAGACATGATTGGTCGATTAGTAAGTAGAATATTGACAATTAAAAACAACTACAAATGTGTTGTATATTATCTCTGTTTTCTAAATACATAAATATAATAACTATATATTGTATATCTTGAAATATAGTAAAAATAAAAATTAATTATATAACAAAATAAAATTGCTCCTTAAATGACAAATTGTGAGGAGGATAATAATAATAATAAATAAATAAAAAAATAGGTGGTACCATTCATATAAAAATATGTATATTACACGGAAGAGGTAAGTTACTCACAAAATGCTATATTTATGAATTCTCAAAATTAGTATAAAATTATGTAACTTAAGGAGTTAAACCAATATAAAAAAAGTTTAATAACTGTGCGCCATAGATATAAAAACTTATATTGTCAACCAAACAAAAATATTGTCAATATTTTTTAATATAATTTTCATAAAAATGATCAAATTTGGCATACATGGTTATTTATGATTTGATGATAATACATAACCTGTTTTTTCATATAAACGTTCAAAATTACATGCAATTGTTTGAGCAGCTGACAGCTTATACAAACAGTACCTTAACCCTTGGAGTCAATATGTTCATTTTGTTTTATTTTTTGCATTCGAAATATCTCCCGACACCGCATTGTACAGAAGAATTATACAAACCATTCAAAAGAAGGTCAAAAAAATGCGTGTAGTGTAATAGTACATGTTACAAGAGTGTGATTAAGACAAGTAAAATATGATTAGCAGTTGATAAATGGATGCTATATCTTTCTATATGGGCCGTATTAAAATCACAAGGTAGACTCAAACTGCACTGCAGCATTGGGTAACCACTCAGGGCCCTGGATAAAGGACTGCACAGTGAACTTCCCTGCCTCAGCATCCGTGAGAGTGGGCTTATACCCGGCCCATTTGACCCTCTGGGACACGTCTGCTCCAGGCCCAGTATTCTGGTATTCGGCATAAAATATGGTACTTGCAGGATCCACATTGGGGACCCAACTCATCCACCCCACTGGCTTCAAAAATGACCCAATATCAGATTGCATGAAGACAGTGGTGGAGTAATCTTTCCATGGCCTACCAAGGTACGTGGGAGCTGTGAGATTGTTACCAAAGGGAGTGATTGTTGATTTCTGGATTATGATTCCAGTGTTCTGGTTAAGGTCCTTCTTGCCCTGAGCTGTGATGGTGTTGAACTGGTTTGGCAGAGGCTGTCTGGGCATGATTTTGCAATTTTGGAACACAGCAGCAGCATTGCCAAAGATGAAGTCTATGGTGCCTGTGATGTCACACTCACGGTAGAATTGGCGGTTGGAATGGGCATAGAGGGTATCCTGGAAGCCATCAAATGAGCATCTGTAGAACACAGAGCGATCCGAGCCAGATCTTAATGCCACAGCTTGGTGCTTGGATGCACCGGCAGTGTTTACAAACCCTATGTCTTTGGCAATGAATCCCTTGCCTTTAACAGCTGCATAAATTAACATGCTTCTTAGTGCTAGATCTTACACTGAACTATCAGCAAATGTGGGTTTAATCCCATGTGAAAATACCAATGGGGGATTTGCAAATTGAATGTTCATTGTTCACCTTTCAACATCATAGTTTCAAGCATAAAAAGGGACCAGCAGGTAAAAACATGTCTATTGTCTCGAGACAGCATCAATGGATGGTAAGCATATTTACTTAAATGAAATTAAAGCAGACATTCACATGGAAGACCATACATCATGCAGAATGCAGGCGGGGAAAATATCCAATCAAAATCTTCCACAGAACAAAACAGCATCATGCTTTTGTGGGTCATACTCATAATAATGAAAGAGGACAGGCAGCCAATTTTGCGAGAGTGGATCAGATTTCACATGATGGCATTCAAAGTTTCATGCCATGTGGTTCCCCATACGCACTAAACCACGTGCCACATGCCACATGCCACATTCCACATGCTTTTCCATCAAACTTGTTTTTCGATTAATAGAATTACAAGCTTTTATTATGCATCTAATTATGAGGATTTTTTTTACCACAAATCTAAGAGATAATGTTATTTAACCATGCCACACTATGTATTCCGAAATTATCACAAATTTTGAAAATAATGCACACTTATAAACTCATCTTTAAAGAACAATTAAATGAACGAATTTTCAATAAATCCATGAAAGCATCCAATATATTTGACTAATAAATCAGACAATTTGTCTGCACCAGAGAAAATACCAATCAATTGAGTTTCATTTCCCATGAATCACACATCAAGCATTCAGGTCAAGATATTAAACCAATAATTACTATACTAACAGTAGAAAGTATAACTATCCTAAAGCTTCTGAAATAATCCCATAAAAAGAATATCAATAGATAAATAAAAAATTGCAATAAATAAATAGAGAAATTAAATGTTATTATTATCTGACCGAAAGTGGCGGTTTCGAAAGTGGGCGTGCCGTCGAAGAAGTTGCGGCCACCGAGGACGATGGTTTTGTCCTTGCCATCGCCGTAGATCATCACATTCCACGTGTTCTTATCCAAATCGATGTTCTCCACATAACGCCCTGCCTTCACGTACACCACGAACCTCTTCTCGCTCTTCTTCTTCACCAGCTTCAGCGCCTCCGCGATAGTCTTGAACTGTCCGCTACCGTCCGACGCCACCACCGCATCCGGCGCCGTCGTCGTTGCGTTGCTCTCCAGCAGCCTCCGCTCCGCCGCGCCGATCCACTCCGGAAACCCTAGCAGCCTCCGCCGGTGAACCGGCGCGCCGAACCGCGACAGCAACCCTAGGATCCTCGTCACGATGGCCAAACTGTTACTCGCGAGCTCCGTGGAGTTCTTCATGGCGGCTCCGATCTCGCGCAGCGCGGCGTGCGCGGCGGTGGAGTTGAGCTCGCGGAGCGCGTCGAGGCACGTGTCCTGGTCCGTGAGCGCGGCGCTGAGCCACGTCTCGACGTCGCTGACTCTGGCCGGAGGAATGACCTTGCCGGCGCTGGCGCCGGCAAGGGAGGAAACCGAGTCGTTGAGGCGGTCGAGCGCGTCGGCGATGACGGAGTCGCAGACGTGGATTGCCTTCTGGAGGCGCGCGTCGTGGCTGGCATTGGCGCGAAGCTTGGAAGGGAAGCTGGAGAGCTTGGAAAGCTCGTCAATGGCGACGCGGAGCGAGAGCTTGAAGAGGAGCTCCGGGTTGGTGGTGTTGGACTCCGGCAGAGCGGAGATGGCGGAGACGCACGAGTTCGGGTACTGAGTGACCTCGCACACCGCTTTGAGTGACGCGGCCGGGGACAACTCGGTTTGCGGGGCCGAGTCGGATGAGGAGGATGATTTGGTGTTGCGCGTGTGTATGACGACCCCTGCAACCGCGGCGATGATCACCGCAATTAGCACGATTGAGGAGGCGGTTATGATTATGAGGCGCTTACGTGTCTTCTTCTCATAGGCTTGCTGCTCCAACTCGTCTACTTTGCCGTACCCCTTGAATGACTTGATCGTATCCATTGTTTTTTTCTATTTTCACTCTGTATTTGGTCACGCTGCTGAACAAATGCTCTATTGAGCCACCAAGTGTTATTAGGTTCGGTTTCGTTTTATATGGAACTTTCGACGCATTTTATAACGGAAAGATAAGGTTCTTTTTTGTACATTAAATAAATTAAAAATAGTTTACACCTATTTCCTACTATCATTCATCGTGTAACACTTTAGGCCTCTTTGTTTTGCCGTTATGTTCCGTTTAACGCCATCGAACCAAATTTAAAATTTTGGATTTTTTGTTAAAACAAACACGTTATTTAGTTTAGTTACGTGGAATATTTTTTTTTTTTACTTTAATAAAATCATGCTACTTAGTTACGTGGATTTTTTGTTAAAACAAACACGTTATTCGAGATGCCCTTATGTATCTACTGATTTTTTTTATTATTATTATTATTTATGTTTTGGGATAAGAACGTGGAAAGTGTATATACGTCCTTTCCGCAAAGCTTCTTTGTTAAGATTGAGAGTAATGAGCATCTAAGAACATGTTCATTTTTACGCATAATTATGATGATGGTGTTTCGTGGGTTGATTGCATAGTTATCTGTCTGGCTTTAAAAACTTTTACACAAGCGCGTTTCATAACCTTAACGAACAAAAAGCAAACACGTTTGAGATAATTGTCGATTTTTGATTTGTCTGTTGGATCAGTGTTATTTAATATGGGTTTGTTTGCAGCAATGTAATTTAGCCAGCTAGCATTACAGAATCTGTATGCAAGGTATGAATTGATAGAAGGTTGGGAAATGGCAGGCTAACAGAATAAGGGGACGCGGTTTGGTTATTCCATTTCATAGTGATTCTGAGCTGTGTTTTATGATCCATAGCACAACGTTTTGCGTTCTGGAGAGAGCGACCTTTTTTTACTTATAAAAATGCACCATGTTTTAGTCAAACTATCAAACTAGTATTTTGCACATAGATAATTTTCTTTTAAAAATAAAATTTATTTATTTGTTGATTTTTAAAACACCTAATTTTTAAAACTAGGAAGTACTATGAAGTAGGATATTTGTTTTTGAATAAATATTTAGAGATGATATTAGCAGGATGCGTGACAAATGGCAAGTATCCGGTAATCGCGGCAGACACACCCGTTGTTTGATTGTTTGATTTGTTTCTTCCTTTCCCACGTCGTTTCCTCAAGTCACTTACATGCGCCCACCCTTTTCTTTTCTTTTTTCTTTTTCAAAAAAAATAGCAAATTAAATATTGCAAAATTCTTCATTTTTAGACCTGGATATTAAAATTCAAAACCCTGCCGTTTTCTGCCGTCTTTAATCACGTTAAAATTGGAACCAAGTCAAATAATACAATAGTGATTCCCATTATCTATTTAAATTTAAGAATCTGATTGTTTAGAAATCACTACATGCTCATTTCATCGTAATTTGTTACTGATATTTCAGTTTGTGTCATTCATAAATAATTGTTTATTATAGTTTTAATTATAACGTAATTTATATATTTAATATATATTACAAATTTTAGTTATATAAAATAAATAAATATTTTTAAATATATAAATTATATTTTAAATTTATGACAAATAAAACATACTGTGGTATATTTTTAATTATTGACAATTTAAAAATTTTGAAAATTAATTTAATTAAAATTAAAATTAAAATGATAAATAAAAAAATATAATAATTCTTAAACGTCCTTTTAAAAAAAAAACTTCTAAAACTACTCTCATTAAATAATAAACACTAGAAATACTTTCGAAAGAAGATGTATTATATATTTGTTGGCTTCATGATAATTGACTTAACAAGTCAAATAAAAAAAATAGTTTTGTCAGCCTAAATTTTGTGTCTATTATATAATGTTTAGTTAGAAAGAAGTAAAGGGAGAAGGAAGTTTTTTTCAAAAAAAATGTTATTTAGTTTAATGTTTACAAATGGGATGAATGGAAGCAAAACTTCTCTTCATTTAATTTTAGTTTTCCATCAACATTGGAAGATTTGAAAAAGAGGGAAAGAAACTTAAAACATTTCGATTGTAATGTCTAACATATATATCATTATTTATATTTCTGAATTTAAGAATATAAAAATATAAAAATAAATTAGTTTTTAAAATATTTCTTCTCCATTTGTGAATAAAAAGCAAAACAATTATCTATCATTCTTTCCATTAAAATCCTTTCCCCCTTCCTTTAAATCAACCAAAATTTTTAACCCTTTTTCCTTACTACTCTTTTAAACCAAATAGATGCTCAAACTTATAACTCTATATCACACTAATACAAAAGAGGTATTCCACGTCGGATATTTTGAGCTTTTTACGTCAGACAAAATACAGACGTAGATGCGGGAGACGTAAATTTACGTCGATCTTGTAAAATCGACATAAATTTACGTCGGACATTCCAAAAATCCAACGTAAAAAAGTAGTAAAAAAAACAAAAAAAAACATAAGAATGCAAGCAGAACGGCCTGTTCTGCTTGCAGAGCGGCCCGTTCTCCAAGCAGAACGGCCTGCTCTCCATTCAAAACGTCCCGTGCTGCAAGGAGAATGGGTCATTCTGCAAGCAGAACAGGCCGTTCTGCTTCGTAGAACAACGCAAAAGAAAAGGCCAACGACCTATACAAATAGAACAACCAAAAAATCGAATAGAACAGATAGCCACAATAACAATGCGAAGCAAAAAAGTGTTAACGAAACCTTGATTCATACCTGATGAGCTGCAACAGTGTGCGAATGAGTAACAAAGAGTTCACCCCTCTGCAAAAGACAAAAAAATGATTCAGTAACAAAGGAGAGGGAGAGAGTTTACAGAGAAAAAAACGAAAAGTGATGAAGAGTGAATGCGCGCGGTGTGCCTCGCACTCTCTTATTCAAATTTTGTGTCCTTTTTTACGTCGGACCTGGTAGGGTCCGACGTAAAATGTCAACTCTACGTCGGACACAACATATATCCGACGTAGATTTGACTTTTTACGTCAGACCATACCAGGTCCGACGTAAAAAAGTTTGCAAAAATTACAAAAATGACACCGCGTCTTTTTTACGTCGGATTTTCATATTTCCGACGTTAAAGAGGTGACGTAAAATACTAATTTTCTACTAGTGTCATGATTAAAAGTATTTGTTTATTATTATTTAAAATTATGATATATATAATTTATATATTAAAATCAATTATTTATTATAAGTTTAGTTGTCCAAAGTGTGACGTAGCAAGTTGGTGTTTTAGTAGCCCAGAACGGGACGTTCCCAATCTGTAACAGGCCGTTCCAAGCTATTAAAATGGCCAGTAAATCGTAGCTGAGAACGGGCCGTTCTGGTTGGAGAACGGGCCATTCCGGAGGGAGAACGGGCCGTTCTGGAAGGGAGTACGGGCCGTTCTGGTTGAAGAACGGGCCGTTCCGATTTCAGAACAAGCCGTTCTACATGTAATTTTTGTACGTGTTGAGGGGGTGCAGAACGAGCCGTTCCGATTTCGGTACAGGCCGTTCTGGCCACTCCGGGATGTCTATAAATAGGGGCTGTGGGCCGTTGAGGGGAGGAGGGGTTTTTTAGAGAGAGGTTCTAGAGAGAAGGGCTCTGGACTGGAAAGCCGACCTTTGAAGGATTGAAGTTCCGGGCTGAGCTTCGGAAAGGGGATTCCGCTTCTTGGCTATCCCAATCCAATCTTCAGGTAAGGGAAGCTAGTCGAAGTTAAGTTGATAAGTGGCTATAGGTGTGGACAAGTTTATGTTGTAAAGTGGTTGATTATGCTGATTAATATTGTTAATGCTGTATGATGAAAATTCGAGTTGTGAAGTATGTTGTTTATGTTGTTAATGATGTAACGCTGAGCCGTACTATATGATGCTAATACAGAATTTTGTTGTTGAGCTGATTAATGATGAGTTGTGCTGTGGGATGTTCATGTTGAATCATGATATTTAAGTCGTCTTGTATAATCTTGAGCTGTTTTGATGAAAACGGGTTCTCGGGGTTTCCGGGGTTTTGATGAAAATCTTGAGGTTTTCTTGATTGTGGTTGCATGTGGGTAAAGCTAGGATTTTTGGGATGGTTGATGAAAATGGGAATTCTTGGCTGGATTGCATGCTGGTTTTCTAGCTGTTTTTGCAGGATTTGGTGAAGTTTTTTGAAAATAGAGTGTTGCTGCTGAGCTTCGCGTTGGGCGCTGTTCATCGCGTCGGGCGCGTGACCACCAGGAGACTCTATTTAGGCAAGCCCACCGGGCGCAAAGGTGTGTGCCGCACTGGGCGCGATATCAATGGTGATATGTTTTGGGTGTTCTGGTGCCGCACTGGGCGCGCGTTTGGACTCACTGGGAACGGAGGCTCCTTTTAAGTCTCTGCCAAGAGGGCGCTGGGCGCAATGCGAATTGCGCCGGGCGCGAGACCTTGGTAGGTCTCTGCCTTCCCCACGCTGGGCGTGGGTTAGGCCATGCCGGGCGCGTGAGACTCCTTGGAGTCTCTGCCTGGTATGCGCTGGGCGCAATCTGAATTGTGCCAGGCGCGTGAGAGCCTTGGGCTCTCTGGCTGAGGCACCCCGGGCGCGGGAACTCTTGCGTCGGGCGCGTTGGCCCCTGGTGCTCTCTGGTTGAGCCGCGCTGGGCGCGACCATGGGTGCGCCGGGCACGTAGGAGAATGTTGACTTGATGTGCTATTAGCTGTTAAACTTTGCTGAAATTACTGAGAGAGGTTGTTTTATGCTGAGTTAAGCTGTAGTTGTTAAATATTGTTGTGCTAACTAGTTGATAACGCTGAATTATGCTGTTGAGCTAAAATTGACAAATATGTCGTGCTGTTAGATGTTATTGCTGATTAAGGATGTTTAGACTGTGCTGTAAGTAGTTTAGCTGAGCCGTAAGCTGCTAATTACTGTATGCTGATATTGCTGTGCTGTAAGTTGTTTAGCTGTGCTGGATGTTGATATTGTTGTGCTGAGCTGGGCTGTTATTGATGATTTTAAATGCTAAAATTATATTATTGCTGTGCTCTAGAATGATGAGCTGAGTTGTGAGTAGTAAGCTGTGTTGAATACTACTTAGCCGTGTTGTATGCTAATTTACTGTGCTGTGTGGTGAGCTGTTTGGTTGTGCTGTGTTAGCTGAGCT